CGTCTGTTTTTGAAGGTCATCGACCGAGTTGATCGGTTTGTGCCACAATGGCCGCTTTGCGTCCTAAATTTGGCTAGCCCCGACTATCAAATCGACCCGATCCGACCCGGTGCTAGTGGGCACCCCTTATTACAGATGGGATCGGCGTGTAGGCCCGATTCGCCAACTCAGAAAACATTGTTTTCGATCGGCCTAACCCGCTGTAATGGACACCCCGTATTGCAAAGCCAAAATGAGGGATGAGAAGATGATGTCAGCCAGTCTAAACAAAGAACAAAATATACTGTAGGCTAAGTTTGTCCAAGTTGAATGGAATTCTGAGATCCTCGCTAAGGGCACCTCAACCACCAAACTCCCCATTTAAAAAAAGCAATGTCACTGCAAGACTGACTTGAATTACTTTGAAGCTGTGACGACACGATGCTTTGATTGTTGTTCCTGTTGTGTCCTTGGTTGTTTCTGTTTAACTGTGAGGTAAAATAATTCAAACACAATAATGTTTCCCTAAATGTTGTCTTGTCTTCCCTTTGTACAGAGACACAAGCAGAGATTTTACACACATACTTTCTCCACCACGGCCTTGCAACGACTGACGACTTACAAAACTAGTAGCATAAGCGTGCAAAATCCATAAGTTAAAGCCGTTAGCCTAAAGTCTATACGCTCAGAGTAGCTTAAGAACGTACAGCCGAAAGTCCATTGTTTCGCTACTCTGGTCATGGTAAATGACCTGTCTTCCATGGGCATACTGGTGCATCAAGTTCTAAATATATGCATCACTCACAAGAGACATCATTTCAGAATTTTACTTGAAATTCATTGTTGCTAAAACTTCACTTTCCTATTCCTTGTTGTTTGATATTAATAATACATTTACTTTAGGGGGCGGGGGTGGGGTAAGGTAATGTGTGCGACATCACTGTCACATCACAGATCATTAACATAGTAAAAATGGAGGATGTATTATGAAGAGAAATACAACTTGATATAACAGCTACATATTATAACACTCGGGTAATGTCAAAGTTACAATCGAAAGTTGAAAGTTATAAGTGCCTCTCGAGTCTTTTCTACAGTATTTAGTTTCATCAAACCAAGACAAAGGGGGCTCTCGTGGTCTAGGGGTACGGTTTTCACTTCTCATTCAATAGTACCCTGGTTCAAAATCTGACAGCAACGGGAACATTTCCTCCTCTAAACTGTTTTCTATTCATCCCCTTTCCTGCTCTCTAAATCTAACGATATTCTGTCGCCTGCTTCTCTCTCTCTCTCTCTCTCTCTCTCTCTCTCTCTCTCTCTCTCTCTCTCTCTCTCTCTCTCTCTCTCTCTCTCTCTCTCTCCCTCTGGGCATGACGTGACTTTTTAAGCTCTTTTTTAAATTAATGCCGTCTTTCAGCCACACCCCTGATCTGACGGTAGGTACTAGTCTTCTCGGGTAAGGGTGAAAAATCTCGGAGGTCCTGTGTGCAAGTTGTGCACGTTTAAGATCCCTTGGTGGCCAAATATCGATAAGTGCAGGCTTCAGCCGCCACCAGGGCAAAATTCAAAATCCATTCCTACCAAACTGATAATGTTTAATGTGTCTCACGCGCTCATATTTCCGTATACAGTTGAGAGTGCCATAAAATAATTACCAAAACAACAGCTGTAATTATACCATAACCCTCCTTATATTATTCCTTTTAAATATAAAATATATTAAAAGTTGAAATTTGGCCGCCAACAAGCTCTCTCCAGTTACCACGATTGTGAGACCAAGAGCTATTGTGAAAAGCAATTTTATTATGGTACTGTTCTTTTTCTTTTAATTAATTGTGTACTAGTATGGCTAAACGACAGTCCCTAAATGTAAAGTGATATAGCCTCTGTAATATTTTGTGACGACTTAGCAGTGGTCGTGCCTGCCAGGAGAGAATACATAACTTCCTGTTTCTTGAACCAAAAGACGAACGTGATCTAGATTATATAAAAGATCTTTGTGATGGGCCTGTTTGATATGCCACATTGGGTTATCCAATGTTGTCAAAGCATCACAAAAAGTTGTTGCCTTACTGACAACGCAGTTTAACAATACGTTATACAGCCGGTAAATTGCACACTCCCGATTAAGTTATTTGATCTAGGAGCAACAAATGATGAAATAAACTTTTCCACGAATACGGAGTTGAGACTGTATTGCTTGTAAACTCGAAAGATGAGCATAGTAAAATGATGGTAAAATGAAGAGATAAAATTAAAGAGAATATTTAGGGAGAGAACATATTTAATATGATAAGAATTACTGTGAAGCAATTATAATAGCTAAGCTCGTCCCTGTGTAATCTGAACAAGAAAACAGAAGCCTTCGTACCAAAAGCGGACAGTGTATTGTTGAATAAGCCTACTACTTGCTCCTGATCTTGTGAGAGAGTAGTAAAAACGTATGCAGAGAGAGAGAGAGAGAGAGAGAGAGATAGAGAGAGAGAGGGAGAGAGAGAGAGAGAGAGAGAGAGAGAGAGAGAGAGAGAGAGAGAGAGAGAGAGAGAGAGAGAGAGAGAGAGAGAGAGAGTGGAAAGGGAGGGGGGTGGGGGTGGAGAAGATAGTACAATATGACCACAATCTCGGTTTCATCTGCTCTCCTGGCTAGGCAAAAAAGGGCGCTAATTATGAAATGCGAGGCAACCTGCAAATCAACGATTTCGAAAATACGAAATCGAATATAAAGTTTAGTTTAGTTGTTTGTTTTCTGGGAGTTTTTTTCTCTGATCTTTCGAAATATCTGTCTGTCACGAAATTATGTATGCCTAATGTAGCTTTTTAAATTTATAATTTTTATTCCTGGTATGTGTATCAATCGAATTGTCACAGAAATAATAATCGGAAGTAGGCGAAAAGCTCGAACTCGTAGAAAGTTTCTATGCGAGCTCGAATTAAAAGTATCGTATTCGAAAAGTAGCCCAGATCTGCATGGTATCGAATCAAAGATGCTATTTTGAATCTTTGGTTGGGTTCTTTTCTCGGTTGGGTTTCTTGGCCTAGGCTAGGCAAGCCAAGTCTTGGCTAGGCGGCTGGGCCAGAGACCGTAGTACGGTATTTATAATCATTGGGCTAGGCCTTACCACAAAAGTAAGGATTACGAAAAAAATTAGTTGCTACTTGAGTTTAGATAGACTTTGAGTTCGACAGACGAATAGATTCTATGTGGTGTAAATAAAACTTACATTACATCGCAAATGCTAAATTGTTTGTATCAAGAATATCCGCCGATGGTTCCAGATCTCAGCGAGAAAAAATAGCAAAAAAGATGGACCGTATGATAGTGGGTAGATTTTCTACATAAAAAGACCTTTAGAACAACAAAACTTTCTTGGGATCATGTCATACTACAAAACTGTCGAATTTAAGGAAAAAAGATTAATTCACTAGGTCTGTAAGCTTGGTTCCATTTACCCCACCCCAAACTCATACACACACGCTTTTCTAACACCTCTTTCTGTTAAGGCTCGTTTTTCGGGTTTTCAGAGACGTCTTTTGTAATTGTGGCTCCGTCCAGTTTTGAAAACAGTTCTTTGGTTATATACTGTAGATCTATATGTAAATCATACTGTAGGAAATTTAATATATAATAGTTATTTTTTTAAAAACATTTCCTCAGGACTACAGGCAGGCCAGGACGTTTCAGTTGAACTCACGAACATTATATGTTGTAGATCTATATGTAGATCTAGGCCTATCTTTAATTTGATTTTCACATGCGCATGGGGGGCTGCCCAGTTTGTCACAGGCCCAATAGGTTGTCATAAATACAGCACTAAAAACACTGTACATAGTTGTAACTTAAATTTTTTAATTCTCCATCTTCAAATTGATGAGGTAGAGATAGTCCCCCTAAAATGTCAATTCAGTTTGTGTTGTTCAATATTTCTTCCTTTTTGAAAGCAAATCAAATCAAATTTCTCATCAAAATTTCTACAATGAATGTTGTTTCCTTAAAAACAATTGAAAAAAAAATTCAATTCGTACAATCAATCAATCATTCATTTTCTCTTTTTGAGAGTGTCACTAATAACTTCCATAATGCAGGGCACGTAAGTGCAGGCGGGGTGGGCCTGTGACAAATTGGCATGCGTCCATGCGCATGTATATCATCCTATTAGAACATGACTGAAAGGACGGAATTTAGAATTTAAGAAAAGAAGAAGCCAACAAAGTATTTTGTTTTAGTCTAACTTTCTGAACCATTATATTTAAGCGGTGGTGGGGCACCTGGAGGCTATCGACTAATATATATATATAAACCCAGGCCATTTCTCAAAAACTACAAATGAAATGAAAATTCCTTAGACCATTTTTTAGAACTACATATACATATATATATATATATATATATATATATATATATATATATATATATATATATATATATATATATATATATGTAGTTGTCGTTAACATCATGTGAAAGTTACATTAACATTGAATTAGAAACAAAGCAGAAAAATGGGATAATATGTGCGTGAAAATAGCATTTTGAGAAAACGGCTGATAAAGGTAAGAAAAGGACAAAATAATTCTATTTCCAGTAAAAATCTTCAAAACATATTTCTAACTAAAACATATTTAGCAACTAGTTGATAATATTAACGCAGCTGACATAGAATAGAGGTTTCCTACTAAAACTTAAGCATATAACAGCCTGGCTTAGGAAAGGGGACAGACCTTGCAATTATGAGCACTGCCTTCGAAAAAGATCATATTAACAAAAGCAAAACATTAAATACATACAAATATGCATTTTCCTGTATTTGAGAACACGACAATTTTTCATTATATATTAGGGAATATCATTTTTTTAAATTTGGGGGAGGGGGGGGAGGGGTGCTTAAAACTAGCAGATTTATCACCCTCATAGCCTAGGGTATAATATAAAAATGGTAACCGATTATCCAGAGGAAAGTATCGATACATCTCAACACTTGTTGAATGTTGCCTGCGTTTTGCGATTCTCTTCCTTCTCGTGCGCCTCTCATCTCAGCATCTGCCATCTGGCCTGGCTCGTTTTGATTTTTTGTGCCTCCGTGTGTGGAGTGTACTCGTTCAAGGTTTGTGGTTTTATGTAGAAAGATATTACTATGCTTCTTACGATCTGATGTTAGCAAAATAAAACAAAGTTTTGATTGACTGAACCAAGAAATCAACTTGTGGTTGACAAGATCGGCGCGAAACACGGACCACTCCGACTTCGGAATCTCACAACAATCATGCAAAATTGTCAAGATTACTTCATGTTCCCAGATGTTGATTCTACGTTTTACCACGTTTTATTCATATTTGCTGGATTCGGGTATTAATGTAAGGGTAGAGTAGAGTAGTAAGTTTAAGGTAGTAGGCTAACCAACCTTAGGAGGCCTTTTTTGGGTGCTCTGTTCTGTTGTTAGTGTGTAAAATCCTTACACTACTACTAGATTCTAGATCTAGATTCTAGATCTAGATCTCTAGATCTACTACTACACCCCAAAAATTCAAACCGAGCCCAAAATTTTTTAATACCATCAGATTCAGAGGTGAATTCACAAGGTAAGCTGGAATCTAGATTAGATGATCTAAAGTCTAGGCCCCTAAAGTCTAGGTCTAGGGCCTACATGATGTAGATCTAGATCTAGAATCTAGATCTAGCACTAGCACATTGGCATTGGAAGATTGCAGGGTGCTTTTTCGGTACGGAGTGTCTACGTACACGGTAACCGGCAACCGGTCACATAGGCCTAGTCTCAGTGTCATGTACACGGTAACCGGGCATGTAGCCTCAATATCTACGTACACGGCTAACACGGTAACAGGCAACCGGGCACGTAGTCGTAGTCTCAGTGTCACGTAACCGGTGTAGCCATCCCCACCCCTCCCCCGACAGTACCTTTTTTTAAAAAAAAATCAATAATTCCCCCCATTCCGGAGCCCTACACTTCGCAGCGCACAGACTTTGAATGAATTTTATTGACCCCATCCGGTACTCACAATGTGATGCACATGCACAGATTCACTGACAGGTCACGATGGCGAGCTTGACAAGACGCTTGTCAAGTATTACGGCGCAATTGTTATTCGCCATTTTTGGCCCCAAGAGTAGGGGGGCTTGCCCCCCCCCTGACCTAAGATCTAGATCTAGATGTAGGTCAGGCTCAAATAAGGGGGGTTGGAACTACCAAAAAAAGCGCCTGTATGACTTTCTTTTTTTCAGCAAGTGGGAGCACAGGACAAAATATATTGATTTATTTTCATTCCAGTTATCGTGTGTACGTAGATACTGAGACTAGGTGCCTGGTTACCGTGTACGTAGACACTCCATTTTCGGTAGGCCCTAGTCTAGGCCTAGGCACTCCTGTACAATTATTGGTGCTTTTTCGGTAGTTCCCACCCCCCTTATTTGAGCCTGACCTTCATCTAGATTTATACGTTTGATTCGCAGCGAGCTAAGATATAAAACCTAACAACCGCAAAACATTAAATGGTGGTAAAATTCAGGGGGGCATGCCCCCCCTGAAATCCCCCACCTTTGGCTTTTATATCAAGTTAGGTCATGGGGCAAGCCCCCCTGAAACCCCCCTACTCTTGGGGCCTAAACCCGTGAATAAAAATTGTGGGGTGGGAACTACTGAAAAAGTGCCCAATTATTGCTGTTAGATCTAGAGCACTAAATCACAATGCAAAGACTACTGGATATGGATACTGATTGAAGTGCACGGCATCGATGTTTTATCAGTTGAGTAGATCTTGCCTACAAAATGAGCAGTAAAATTTGACTTGTAGACCACACCTAACAAAAACATGGGGGCATGCCCCCCTGAATTTGACCATAATTTGATTTTGGCCGGCACTATTTCTCCGAACGTTCGGGAAAATAAAGCTGGGCACTATTTCTCCGAACACTCTGAAATATCATCCTTTCCCGCAAATTTCGGATATTATATAGATCTATAATCATAGTATGGGCCTACCAAAGATTGTTCGTATACAACATGGTTCAATCGGTCCAAAAAATGTCCGCCGTAAATATTTATATTAAAAAATGCTACAATTCCAAACAGTTTTTCGCTATAGATATGACGTGTTGCCTATGAAGGGTGCTGCTCTTAAACGTAATGTGTTGTGTTCACTCGCGTGCTGTCTAGATCTAGATCTACGGAGGGTTAAACGACACATAGAACTGGCATCTGCGTTTGACACTGCTGCGACCAATGTACTGACACTGGCAAGCCCCTTAATGTGTGTGATTCCATAATTTACATGTAATATCCTGTACTTTTTTAAAAATTACGCACATTTAGGGTTAAAACTGCCAATCTTTTTCGGACAGGTGGACACACGCCCTTATTTGTTAATGTTTTTTGTTGTTTATGGGATGTTCTAATTTTTATTTCTTTCTGTTGTGAAACCTTTCTTTTTCACGTTTTTACACTCATCTAAAAATGTCATCTAGACTAGCTGTTGAAAATTGAAATAGATATAGACCCAAAAATTTGCTCCTGTGTGTGTGTGTATGTGTGTATGTGCGTGTTTGAGTGTGTCTGTGTGTGGTAGTAAGTGGAGAGTGAGGAGTGTGTGTGTGTGTGTGTTTGTTTGTTTTTCGGGCTTTATTTCAGCCTTTATTCAGTAACAGTTCAAAGTATACAAAAATAGAAACACAGGATCCATTCACTCCAGGACGCATGAGTCGTTCGTCTCTTTCAGTTTCACTCTTTCATTCAATTCCCGTGTTCTCTCCCGCGGCTCATCCCCGTCCGCATGACTTTCATACCCCACCCCATCCCTCCAGGCACACACAAAGAAAATCTCACTTGTTCCCTGCGAACCATGGACAATAATATAGGCAAAACACCGCCTGTGCTGCATTCCTTTTGTTCATGAGCTGTGGACCAGGCCAGGGGTGGTCGGTGTCGTCGTCTTGTAGTTGCTGTCGCCTGTGGATACACTCGCACATTCTTCCTTTCACCCGCTTTCACTCACACTGTCTCTCCATCCACAGTTCAGCTTGTCATACGTTCAAAAGTTGCCCACTAGTTATGTTTAGTTAGTGTGTGTACATGTGCATGATGGTGGTGGGTGTGTGGTGGGTGTTACTACTGAAGGTTGTCTGTAGGCGGGCTTGCCATGCGGTACGTGTTCCTTCCCAGACCAGAGGCAGAATGAAAGTTGGCGCCGAACTCTCGCAATAAATAGGCAAAAAATCACGAGACCGGAAGCCGGAAACCGTTCGGAGAAATAAAGATCGGCACTATTTCTCCGAACGTTCGGAGAAATAGTCACTTCGTTTGATTTTTTACAATTGGGAGTGTATACAGACCTGGTAATCGGGAACAAAGTCACAAAATATGGTAAATTTTTACTTTCACTCCCGCACACATATGCACTGTTTCAGGGGTCAAACTGCAGTAATGTTTGCTGCAAATCACACATAAAGCCACTAAAACTGTCGCAAATCAATTATTTTCAAGACAATTTCAAATCTAACTGTAAAATATCAAATTATGGGTAAAAACAGGGGGGCATGCCCCCCTGTAACCCCCCAGATTTTCTTTTACCCCAGTGGGGCAGGCCCCCCTGGAACCCCCCAGATTTTCTTTTACCCCAGTGGGGCAGGCCCCCCTGGAACCCCCCGATTGGTCCAAAGCATGTGGATCTCGGTTAAAAACAATCAAATATTTCAAAAACTATTAATTTGCGACGGAAATGAAGTTGATATTCGCGTTCAGCTCATCAATATTTAGTAGAAATTAGACAACTGGTAGCTGAGTGTGAGACGGGAGGGAAAGTAAAAAAATACCCAAAATATACAGACCCGGTAGGGGAACTCTTTTATGATTTCGGAGAGTTTCTGAGCCCTCTTGGCTCAGGGTAGACCTGGGTTCTTCTAGATCTAGGCAGACAGACATAAATCTTTGATCTAGTTTCGCAGCTAGCCTAGATCTAAATGAAGATTGCAGATGAACGATCGTTTCTCCTCCGTTTTGGGGTTGGAGGAATCGCAAGACGCAATTTGAAGAAAAGAACAATGTCATAATTTCAATCGAGCAGTCACCCTCTCTATATTTCTCTCTCTCTCTCTCTCTCTCTCTGTATGATGTGTATCGCTCGCCTTCTCTTTTTCTTTGTTTGTCTCTTGTCTTCCTTTGAGACCTTTGTCCCCACCTATTTCACACTCTATCTTTCTCTCGTTCCCTCCTGCCAACTGGGGCATGTCATTACATTTTGCTAGCTCCTCTCTCTCTCTCTCTCTCTCTCTCTCTCTCTCTCTCTCTCTCTCTCTCTCTCTCTCTCTCTCTCTCTCTCTCTCTCTCACGCACACACACACTAGATTTCTACCGGGTCTGGGGGCTGAAACTTCCTGAAATCACAAAAGAGTTCCCCTACCTGGTCTGTATACTTCGTGACTTGGTTCTCGGTTACCGGGTCTGTATATACTTCGTTCACAATTAGATTTCTAGGTTTGATTGGCTATCCCTCCATAGGCCTATCGGCACGTGCATCAAAAAGTAATCGTTTAGAACCGGAAGTTGGCCTAATCGTTGGTAGGGTCAAAAGATCTCTGTCAAGCGCCATTTGCCGATCAGCGCGATCTTAAGATGGCGCAGAACCATATGACGATCTGCAGAAAGCGTGGCCATCACACACGAACGATTTTGCAAAGTTCACAAACAAAACTCCACAGAATTTATTATCATTTATTTCAAAAAGAAAAAGAAAAAGGGTCAAGAGGACGCCCGCAAGTATCACTTGCCCATACAGATTTATAAGGTATTTTTTTACTTTCCCTCCCGTCTCACACTTAACTACCAGTTGTCCATTTTCTACTAAATATTGGTACGCTGAACACGAAGATCAACTTCATTTCCGTGCAAATTAATAGTTTTTTGAAATATTTGATTGTTCTTAATCGAGATAGACCCACCTCTTCGTGGTGGGGGGGATTAGTACTCTTCGAATAGGAAAAGAAAAAGAGGAAGCTAACGGGTCAAGGGGTGTCCCCGAAAAGAGACATATATATTACTTTACTATGTTTCTTACTCTTTCTTATCTTTCTATTGTTTTTATTGTTTTACTTTAT